TATAGATTATGTACGAAAGAAACCAATCATAATTATGTCATCGTTAAATTTAACTGACGAAGATTTTGTTATCGATAGCGATGTATTATCATCAATTCGTAAATCACAATCACTTGCACGTAATCCATTTGATCATTATGTTAATGGTGTATGTGGATTAATTATTTGTCTTCTCGGTATTGTTAGTAATGCACTTAGTTTTTCAATTTTAATTCGTCGAGTAATGCGTTTATCAACATACGTTTATTTAGCTGGTTTATGCTTAAGTGATTTTACGACTTGTCTTTTTCTTTTACCTGGTTATATATTAAATGCATATCCACTTGAAATACCTGATTATGATTTACCACGAACATATGCCTATACAAAATTACTTATCATTGCAGGTAAAATATTAAATGAAATATTTCATATAATTTATATGATATAATAATCGAACTTTAGGTGCAATTAGTACAACAGGTCGTGTACTTAGTGTATGGCTTTGTGTAGCTTTTACAATTGATCGATGGATAAGTAAGATTAAATTTATTTATATTAATTAAAAATCTATATATATATTGTTTATAATTAAGTGATTTGTCGTCCATTTGTCGGTCCAATTTATTGTACAATGAAAAATGCTCGATGTGTAACATTAATTATTTTTATAATTGGTATTTTTTATGCATTTCCACTTGTATTAGAATATGAACCACATGAAGAAACTGCTTTAAATGAAATACTTTTTGCAAATACTAATAAAAAGAACTATCGTTATATATTAAGTAAATTAGGAAAAAATTCTATTTTTCGATGGACTTATGTTTTAATTAATGCACTTGGTGTTTATGTTATTCCATTAACAATTATTATCATACTTAATAGAAAATTACTTATATCAATTCGATTACTTGAACAACGCTCAGCAGAATATAGAGCACCATCACCTACTAAACAGGGTATAAGAAGAAAAAATGTTGTTTTTTAGATAGAAATGATTCAGAGTTTTCTTATTCATATAAACAAGAAAATAAAAAGTTATATGTTTTATTTATTCAGAACAAAAATTAGAGGAATTTTAAAAATATATCTTTCTAGAAACTTCTTCGTAAGACAATATGCCTTGTATTTCAAAGATATTTAAAGAATGAGAATGAAAATCTGTCAGATTAGACCTAGATCATGTTTAAAGCTAAAAATTAAATATAGTTTGATAAGCATCAGTATATTACTAAAATTCTCTCGAGGAAAAGATGAATTTTACTAGTCATTACTATAATTAAGTGAAATGAAGAATTTTAATTTTTACCAAATGACTTTTTAATTCAGGTAGAATAGACAATATTGAAGTTATTTATTTTTTTGTTTTAGGTGTAACGGTAATGCTACTAGCAACAACAATATTACTTCTTGTATTTCGTTTACCATCAGCTACTATATCAATAATGTGGTTAATAAGTGCAAAAATGTTTATCAATGAAAAACCACCATTTCTTTTACGAAAATTTCATTCAATTGCTAATTTATGTGCAACATTAAATGCAGCAACAACATTTATTATGTTTATTATATATGGAGCAAAATTTCGATCAGAATTTACAAATATTTATTGTTGTTGTTTAAATCGATTGAAACGAAAACAAGTACTTTTTAATAATCAACATGAACAAAATATAAAAGAAATTCTATCGAGTGATATTAATGTTAATGAACAAAGTATTACGAATCAAATAAATCCATTTCCAATCAATCAATCTTATGGAAAAGTTCGTCAAGTTGATACTCGACATAGTAGTAGTGCAACAACAACAACATCAATTTCATCTCTTCCGTCGTTAAGACGTCTAAGATATCAACGAAGAAGTCCACGTTATTCAATTGAACGAGAATATGATTTTATGAATCATAATAATCCTAACAGAAATCTTCAACAACATTATGAGCTTACCACATAAAATGATGAATGTTATTGCACATATCAAATTTTCCTTTTCTTTTTCTGATGTTGTGTTTACTGCTTTATTTATTATATTCTTGCTCAAAAGCTTAACAAAATTTGTATGTATGTATGGTTGTAGATATAATTATTTATTTTTATTGTTTGTTCGTAAGAAATTTTTTTATTTCTAAAAAAAAATATTAACAATTAAATTAGTTAATTATATAATTATGTTCATTTTCTCGATAAATAGAATGAGTATTCGAAGAGATCAAACGATTTTTTATGTCACGCAAATCGTGTAAGATAAAACTAAGTAAAGATCTAAATTGTTTAAATTATTTTTGTCTAATGATAAAAAATATCTTTATCGACATAACTATATCACGCAAGATTTTTACCGTTGGCAAAAAAAAAAGAAATAACAATATTAATGTTCATTGAATTATTCTTTATTTAATTGACAAAAACAGATGTGTTTCTATATTGATACAAATTTTTCTATTAATCAAAAATTAAATAATACCTCTCATTACATTTAATGCTTCTGTTAGTGAATAAGTTTTGTAGATATACTTGTAAGGTTAAAAAGTACTATCGCATGTTTCGAGATTCAAACAACGTGTGTCTTCAGCGTACTACTATACGCCTCCGAAACATGAATTCTGAAGAATGCTAACAGGCAGTTGACAAGACGATATCGAAAGTAAAAACTATACTACACATAATCGAGAAAAGAAAATTAAGGTTAATTGACGACGATAATAGACTGATAAAATACGTAGTATTCGCTAAAATGGATGACGTCAAGAACTACCATACAGTAATTAGTCCCTACTGTCGATAAACCTATAGAATATCATGATGAATGAATCATATTTTACAATTCTGTATTTCTAATAAAATCTACCTTAGTTTAAAAGTGTCATTCATTGAACCAGAAGTAATACAGTATCTATAGTGCTTTTCATATAAAGAAAACAACACAGTAGATTTATATCATGATCATTGATTCTTCGATAGTATCGATTCTCTTTGAATTGATTTTATCTAATCTAGCGCGTAATTTCGCAAAAAAAATTCTTTATTTTTTCTACTATTCCGAAATCTAAAACAATCGTAATTATTGTTTAAGTTAATATTTATTACAAAACTTATGATATTTTTTTATTAAAAAAAATAATTATTTATAAAAATCTCATGAATAAAACATCAACAATAAAATCTAATTTGATTGCGGAAAAGTGTCGAGCAATCCTTCGAGAACGTTATTGTAATCGTACTCATGAATATGGTACTTTTTCACAACAGTACGTTAATGGGTGTAAGCATTTTTTTGATTTTTCATAAATACGAAATTTTATTTTCAAAAATTTTGAAATTTATATAACATTGATAAATTTTATTATCTTATATTTCTAGAAGATGTTTACCAAACACATACAAACATTGTTATTCACCATGTAATATCAATAATCATCCAACACCAATTAAATGTTATGAAAAACAACCTTATTGCAATACAATATCAGTCAATGATTGTTGTATTGATTTAAATATTGCTCCTATGAAACCTATTTTAAATAAACAAACAAGTCATATTCAATATTTATCAATACCATCAGATAGTTGTATACAAATGATTACAAATTCTATACTTAATAAAGTTCGATATAAAATTTCTCAAGAAGAAATATCTCTTTTATATTGTTGTCTTCCATCATTAATTCGACAAATAATGTGTAAAAGTCCATGGTTAACACCAAATGATATTATTCAATGGTTAAGTACAGATATTATAGTAAAAAGATTTTTTATAATTAAAATAAACATATTATCTTATTCTTTCATTAGAAAGAAGCAATGACTGATTTCGATGATAATAATCTTCCGAAGAAATCATACATAAACGATCATGATAATTTATCATTATCTGAAGATATAAAATCTCAACAATCAAAATCTATTCTTGATTTACCCAATAATATTTATCCTAAACAATTAAAAAGTAAACCTTTATCAGAATCTCAACATTCATTTAGTAGTCAACAAAGTGATGATCTTCAATCAAATACTTATAGCTCCACTAGACTTCCATTACGAGGTCTAATAAAATGATTTCTTTTGATTTTATATATTTTATTTTATTAATAGATAATAAAAATAATCAAGAAAATGAAAAAAGTATTTCATTATTATTTTCTATTAAAATTTGATTTAGGTTTATCTATAGATACAATCAAATCAAAAAATATTGAATCAGATTTATCTATGAATACAATCAATTCAAAAAATATTAAATCAGATTTATCTATAGATACAATCAATTCAAAAGATATTGGATCAGGTCGTAAATTACAAATAAAAGATCAATCAGCACCTGTTCGTATTGAATATCCTGGCACAAAAGATCCAAAAACTATTCAAAATGTGAAACAATGTTTAGATTTTTATCATAAAATACGAGAATATTTTGATGATGATGTAGCTGCCATGCTTCTTAAGTGTTGTTTATGTTATGGCGATTGTTCAGGAAAACGATAGACATAATAAAAAAGGTGTTATTCTTTTTATAATTAAGTTGTTATTTATACGACAGAAAGAAAAAAAAATAATCGCGACATTTGTATATCGACATAAGAGATGTCATGATTATGTAAGAGAAATTACATACTTAAACTATATAAACAAATATATACATAATAGAAAAATATGATAAGTTTTTGTTATATATCAATTTGAAAAATTTAAAGACGTCGAAAAGCATAATTTGACTTAATTTTCAAGGAGAAAAGGTGTGGTTGTGTGTATACACTATGTAAAGAAATGTTTTCTAATACTCAATAGTTTGTGAATTAATTGTATCTGACTTGTTGTTAGTAACGAAAAGAAAAAGAAAGCGTGACACTTTTTGATTTTACTTAAATCGAAATGATGTTATTGTTATTGTTATTATTACAGTTGCAACTGTTACTTAAACACAAAAAACACTTTAAATGATTCGATAGTTTCTTTTTTTCTTCTTCCGAAAGTGAGAAGAAGAAAAAAAAAATGAAAACATTAATTTTGAAGGTAACGAATGGAACGAAATTTACCGTATGTCAGTCGATCACCTCTACAACGTGCTGCTCATACAAATACTTATGATCCGTCAGCACAGTATCGTGCTTTGTTGATGCCACCGGCTATACGTGAAACTGAAATACAAGAAAATAATCAATATCCTTCGAATTTTGAAGCAGAACAAGAAGTACCTGCTACTATTAATAATCAAGCGTCTAATAGTCTTCCCCTTATACCAAAATATTATTATCCAAATTATAATGAACCAAAAGATACAACTTCTAATAACCCTGTGTCCGAAACCGTACACCATGGTAATCCTGATTTAATACAACAGCCAGTTAATCCTGATTTAACACAACAGCCAGTTGTTGCTGAATACCCATATTCTAATACTATGGATCCTTATTATCAGCCGGTTCTAGCACCTTCAGATCCATATTATACGGGTCAGTATTATCCTTATACAACACCATATTATCCACCGGTGGCAGCTCCTGTTCCTACAACAAATTATTTTCCAGTTATACCACAACAGCCAATACCTACGAGTAAT